AGAGTGAACATATCCTGAGCACCTAGACTTTCCAGACCTTTCCTTTCACTTTACTTCAGTCAAGACTTGTGAGTATTCTGCCAAGTCAGTATACTCATTACAACTCAACTTCAAGTCAAGTCCCATTAAGTAGTTGCCACTAAAGTGAATTTCCCTTTTAGGAGTGGTTTTTAGTCAAGAGGATTCAATAACAGAGTAAACTTTTAAAAATAATAATAATTAAAAGAGGATTCTATGAGAAAACTAGGGCTCCAGTTTATACCACTCCCATGATTGTGTTCCATGTCTCCCCTGCTTTCACACAGCTCCAACCATAAAATAGAAATTGCCTTCACAAAATATTCCTTCATCATTCTTCTTCTGCTCAAATACCTTTTCTTTCAATTATACTTTACCTTGATAAATTACATGTGCCAGGCACCATATGAGCCAGTGGAAGTACAAAATACAGAGAAGGAAAAGTTCATCCTCAAATCTAGCTTTAGGTTGTTGCTATTAGGTGCTGTCCAGCCGACTATGACTCATAAGGACGCCCTGAACAACTGACTGGAACTTTGACCTGTCCTATCCCATCATCATCGTCTCCTCAAAACTCAAGCCTATAGTTGCAGTCACTGTGTTATTTCATCTCCTAGATGGTCTTCCTTTCCTTCACTGATCTTCAACATTTCCAAGCAGTGGCCCTGCTGACAACATGCCCCAAGCACATGGGATACATTCCACCATCCTTACCTCTAAGGAGTACTCTATTTGCACTTTGTCCAAGACATATTTTTTAATTTTGTCAATCCTTGGTATATTCCATACTCAATATCACAATTCAAAGGCATCTATTCTTCTTGAGTCTTCCTAATTTATTGTCCAACTTTCAGATGTATCTGATGCAATTGGAAGCACCATGGTTTGTATCAGTTTTGGAGTGGGCTAAGAAATGAGATATTTTTAAAAATCTTTAACCTCTCTTTAACAATTTGGAGAAGTCCATGATAGCATATTCCCCCAATACAACACATCTTTTTATTATTTGGTTGCTGTTACCGTGAATGCTTATTATATATTTTTAGTTATTGTTGTTGTTGTTGTTAGGTGTCGTCAAGTACACCCCATAGTGACCCTGTAAACAACAAATCTGAACCCTGTCCTGTCCTATACCATCCTCACATTTCCTGACACATGAGAGCCCGTTGCAGCAGTCACTGTGTCAATCCACCTGGTTGAGGGTCTTCCTCTCCTTTGCTGACCTAGCATTATGTTCTTCTCGAAGAAATAGCTTCTCCTAGCAACACGCTCAAAGTCTGTGAGGTGAAGCTTTTTCTCCAAAGAGTACTCTTGGTGCACATGTATAATTGAATCATTGACTACTTTAATCTTTTCTCCATCTAGCATGATGTTTCCTGTCTAGTGACAAGAATTTTTGTTTTCTTGATGTTAAGATGTAATCCGTTTTAAAGGCTATATAGTCTTTGATCTTCAGCAATAAGGGATCCACTTTCTACAAGCAAAATGGTGCAGCTTGTTGATAAGCCTTCCTTCAAACGTGATGCTACTTTATTCTTCATATAGTCCAGCTTCTCAAATGATTTGCACAGCATACAGTTTTAATAGATATGAAGATAGAACCCTGATGGACATTTTTGCCAATTTTAAACCATACAATGTTTTGTTGTTTTGTTCAGACAACTACTTTTTAATCAGTGTGTAGGTTTCCCATAAGCAAAATTAAATATTCTGTGATTCCTAATCTTAATGTTATCCATAATTTGTTATGATCCACACAGTGAAATGCCTTTGTATAGTTAATAAAACCAAGAGTATACATCTTTCTGGTATTTCCTACTTTCAGCCAAGGTCTATCCGACATCAGTAATGATATTCCTCATGCCACTGTCTCTTCTGAATCCAGCCTGAATTTCTGGCAGTTCCCTGTCAATGTACTGTTCCAGCCATTTTTTAAAATAATCTTCAGCAAAATTTTATTTATATTTGATAATAATTGTAGTGTTCAATAATTACCACATTCTGCTGAATCACCTTTTTTTAGGAATAGAAACAAATATGGAACTCTTACAATCAGTGTCAGGTAACTGTCATCCAAAAGACTTCGTATAGACTAGTGAGCACAGCCAGGACTCCACCTGTTTGTTGAAACACCTCAGTTGGTATTCTTGGGGCTTTATTTTTTATTTTATTTTATTTTATTTCTTTTTACCAATGCCTTCAGTGCAACTTGAACTTCTTTCTTTATTACCATTGCTTCTTAATCATATGCTACTTTCTGAAATGGTTCTGTCAACCAGTTCTTTTTAGTACAGTGACTCTGTATTCCTTCTGTCTTCTTTTGATGTTTCCCACACCATCCAATAATTAGCCCATAGAATCCTTCAGCATTGCAATTTGAGGCTTGAATTTGTTTTTCAGTTCCATCCCTCTCAGAAATCCTGAGCATGCGCTTTCCTTTTAGTTTTCTAATTCCAGTTACTTGTACATTTCCTTACAATATTATTTTTTTTTCTTCTTCTTCAGTTGCCCTGTGACATTATCTGTTTCTTTTATTCATTTTGGTTTAAGTTCTTGTGCAAGTTTCAGAGTCTGTTCTGACATTCGTTTTTGCTCATTGGCATAAAATAAAATATATGTCATGAGGACCTTATGTTTAACAGAACATGCAATTCACACAATATTTGGCTTTGTGTTTTGTGTGTATTTTTACTATCACTAATTTACTGGGAGTACCTTCTTCTGGCCCCCAGAATTCACCTTTCCCTTCCTCACAGAGCTCACTCTCAGAATCTTGTTCTTTTCTCTGCCTGCTCACAGACCACCCAGGTTTTCTTGGAATTTTTGCCTGCTCTGGAGATCTGTCTCCTGAGGGTCGTACTCTTTACTTTCTGCGTTTTAGAAAGCTAATGGAATGATCCAAATGGCTGGTGATATGTCTGTTTAGTCTTTGGATTGACATTGTCACATATTTACCAACAAATATTTAGTTTTTTCATAATATCTTAAGTCATAATCCTTAATTATAGCTTCCTTCAATAAGGTACATGCCTTGCTCTTTCAAGTGTTCCATAACAGAAGCATTTCACATCCTGGAAAGGTCTGGGAATTCACTGTTCTTGCCTAACCTCTAGGATCCTATAAATTGTTCTCTGCCCAGTTCCCTACTTTCTAGTGTGAGAGGGTCTTTGTCCAGGTCTCCACTCTTCAATAGTTAGACGACATTGTGTATATCAGTTAGCCATTCAAGCCTCACATTGCCTACCTATGAACTAGAGCTATATTGATGCTCACCTTGTCAACTGCGAAGGAGAATCATGTGAACGAATGCTTTTCAAAAGCTCTCTGTGGCATTAATGATTGCTGTTGGTTCAAGACTTCCTTCTCCAACTCAGAAGAACACCCATATATGGTAAATTGTGAGCTGTGACTAACCTCAGTCTGGGTTGCATGCCTGAAAATGAAGGCTTTGCTACCTGGCAGGGGGTAGGGAAAGAAAGAGCTGCTGCAAAGGCACAGAAAAGTCATAGTTATTAAAGAATTACCAAGCTCACTTTGCCCTCTCTTGCCTGAAACTACTATGTAGAGTATCTGATATAGAGTAGAAAACCAATAAACATTGAGTGAACGAGTCGATGGGTTTTAGAGTAGGCCCAGAATTAAACTCAGCCTTCCATGTTAAATACAGAGGGGGGGAAAAGAGACTTGAATCAAAATGTAGAAAGGATTTGAAACAGCTTAGTCACATGCTTGCTTGACACTAATTCCATAATCTCTCCAGGTGTAGACCCTGACACCAGCGCCCCCACCTCCACAGTGTTCCTGAGGAAAACAGGTAGTGTCAGCACTTGACCCTGTGGAGGTTCTGAAACGTCTATATCCTTGGTCCCAAAAACCAAGGAGCCGATCTTGCTCTGGATCAGCCCAGACAGATGAATAGTCGATTAACGGTATTCTAGATCCAGGGAAGACAGGCATGTGACTGAGAAGTTCCAAACCCCTTCTATATTTTGGCTCATGTCTCTTTCCTCATCTGTATTTCACATGGAAGGCTGAGTTTAATTCTGAGCCCACTCGAAAACCCACCCATTTATTCACTTAATGCTTATTGGTTTCCTTATCCATGTCAGATGCTATGCACAGCAATCCCAGCAGTCCTATAATGGCTATCGCCTGATCCAAGAAGTGGAAGGGGGACTTGCACAAAGAAAGGAACTGAACTAGTTCACAGAAGTTGAGTATGTGGATCTTTAGACTCCACAAGGGATTCTAGGGGTGAAGGGGCGAAAAATGGTAAGCAGTGATAAAGAAGCCCTCTCTCTGTCTCCTTTCTTTTCCTACATGAATTCACCCTATCCTATCAATAAAGGAGCACTCGTGGCTTAATAGCAAGGAGCTGCATTGCCAACCCAAAGAAGTGCAGTTCAAATGAACCAGCTGCTCCTCAGGAGAAAGATGGGGAATCTCCCATGTGATGTGCTGCCTCTGAAAACCCTGTAGAGGGTCATTACTAGTCAGTTACACCCCAGACTAACAGCATAAGTGGTGTCCAGAGACAGGGGAAGAGCTCTGGTCTGAGGACCAGTAAGTAGGCTGAGCAGTGAGCAGGCTGGTGGAAAGGACAGTTTATAGGAAAACTTTATTAACTGTTCAGGAAACTGGAACCATACAGTAGAGATGATTATGGCGTCAGAAGCAAAGACTTTAATCTGGGTTCCTACAGGCCCATGTCTTACCTTCTCCGTTAGAGCATGAGTCCCTTGGAAGGAAGGAGTCTAACCTCCTCAAACTGGCACTTTGTTTGCTTCTGGAGGAGGCAAAATGAGCCTGGGAACAAGATGATCTGAGGTTTAAGCCTAGGTCTGCCTCTCACTATCTGTATGACGTTGCCTGATTTTTCTAATAAATAGCAACATTGGCATTGAGTAAGTGCTCTGTGAATGCTGGCTTCTGCCTCTCCCTTAAACTATATTGCCCCTAAAAGTGAAGCTTTTTTTTTTTCTTTTGCTCACATTTAATTTTTATTTATTATGTTTTTTTTAATGCTGCACACAACAATATTTATTTCATTTATTTGTTTGCTGCTTGTATTTATTTTTTTTTACGTAAAGTGAGAGGGAACTTTTGTGGCCTTTTTTTTTTTAATTCTTTAACTATAGGCCGCCTTAAGCTTTCTAAATTGTATAATATTTAAGCAAGCTGAAAGGGAAAAGGGGTTTTTGCAAAAAATCACTCGGGGAAAGGAAAGGTTGCTTGGTTAATCATGCCCTACAGTGGGTGATTAACTGCTTGTAGAATTAAGTTTCATTTTTAATTAACTGTGCTTAAGGTTTTAATTATATCAGTGTTCCCTCTTTACAGCAGCTCATACTGACGAAGGTGCATGCGCTGAATGATGTCACGGCAGTCGTTGAACACGCGGCGAATGTTCTCGGTGTCCACAGCGCAAGCGAAGTGGGGGTAGCAGTAGTGGCGCCCATCTCCACTGGCGGTGCTGATTCTCAGAAATTCGTCGCGGATGAAGTACTTGGCCCGGGTCACACGGGGATCCTCGCCAGGCTCAGGAGTAGCATCCTCAGGAGTAGTGTAGCGAGCGAACTCTGGGAAGTAGTCCTCGATCTTGGACTTGCCAGCAAGGACCTTCTCGGCCAGCAGATCTTGCTTGTTGAGGAACAGAATCACAGAGATGGTGCGCAGCCATCTGTTGTTCCAGATGCTCTTGAAGAGGTTCAGAGCCTCCTGCAGACGGTTGGTCTGGTTGTCCTCGCGAATCACCATGTTGTAGCTGCTGCTGGCCACCACGAAGATGATGGCAGTCACATCATTGAAGCATTGGATCCACTTGCGGCGCTCATCGCGCTGGCCGCCCACATCGAACATGTGGAAGTTGACCTTGTCCACCTGGAACTTGGTCTCAAAGATTCCAGAAGTCAGGACACGGCAACGCAGCAGGTCCTGGTCGCTGGGCACATAGTCGGCCTGCTTGATGACATCGATTTTGTCCAGGAAGTACTGGGCACAGTCGATGAGCTGGTACTCATTGGCACGCTCGTAGCAGGCACGCACCCCTTCATCTTCCCAGAGCGCCTTGGCATGCTCGTAGAATTCAGGGGGGAAATCAAAGTCAGGCACGTTCATCACGCTCAGGATGTAGTCCACTCTGAACTGGTTCTCAGGGTTGGCCAGCTCCACAGGGGGAACCAGGTTGCTCATGGCGGCCACAATGGTTTCAATGGCCTCCTTCAGGTTGTTTTTGATGTCCTGCACTTTCGTTGCCTTCTCACCATCGCTGTTGCTCCTGGTAGCCTGCGCGTCCTCTTCGCCGCCCTCTCCATTAAACCCATTAACATGCAGGATCCTCATCTGCTTCACAATGGTGCTTTTACCAGATTCTCCAGCACCCAGCAGCAGCAGGCGGTGCGTGGCCCGGTAGACCTGCTTGTCCTTCTGCAGCTGCTTCTCGATCTTCTTGTTGGCCTCGCGCTGCGCCTTCTCCTCGTTGCGCTGGTCCTCCGTCTTGCTGTTGCCGAGACAGCCCATGGCCCGTGGCGGCGGGCCGAGGACGCCGGGCGCGGGCTCGGCTCTCCGGGCGGAGCTTTTAATCACCTTTTACTAGATACCACATTTTCAATGTAGCTTTTAATTCTTTCCTCGCAGGAAATGCATCCTCATGCTTTCTTTAAATAGTCAATACAACAATAGTTGAATACAACCCAGTGCCTGGGACAGGTCGTTATGGCGGCGGAATGGATTGTGGTGCTTAGTGACCAGAGATAGATTGCTGGCTCTGCCTTCCAGGCACCTTGTGGGTGACAACAGCTAACCTTTTAGCCAGCGGCCTAGGGATCATTTAATCCTTTGCATCACTTACGTGATCCAGACACCTGTTTCCTTCTGTTTTTTCAGGTATATTCAGATATTTCAGAAGGTCAGCCTCAAAGGTTACAGAGATGTAGGGACCCCAACTCCTGGCTTTCAGGGACCAATGGAGACTTAATCCCTGAAAGTGCTTCCCAGTAAATCTCTTCTACGTGAGCTGGGATTTGGAAAACTGAGGCGCCCCTCCTTCCGCTTCAGTTTCTGAGCCCTGCCTAGTTGCAGAGCAGAGAACGGAAACTCAAGCCCCCTCCCTCCCCCGCCCCTGGCTTCCCTCTCCCCGCAGCTCTGGTGCAGCCGCCGCTGTACGGGGTCGGGTGTGCAGGAGAGGTGCATGGAGACGCGCGCCCGGCTCAGTGGGCCGTTCCAGGACGTAGCTTGAGAACGCTCCGCTAACCTCCTGGCTTGTTCTGATACCCGCGCTGCATAAAAGGAAGGATCTCATGCAAATTAAGGCCAGTGTAGCGAGAGGGTAAACACTTAATTAAAGGAAGGCACCTGGAGACCCAGCGGTGGGAGGGGGGAACTAGAGCAAGTCTGCAACTCCCCAGAGGCAGGAGAGGAGGACGCCTTTTCTCCAGGTCTATTCTCTGCCACCTCTTTCCCTTTCCCCCTGTACTCCTCAGTCCCAGGGCTGTGTTAGAATAGAGGACTGGAGCCTAGGGGAGAAAGGGGTCTTTTGAAATGGCTCTGAGTGGGCTGTTGTTACTAACGGTCCTCTGGAGCTCAGAAAGGAGAGTGTTTGGTAGAAGTGACTGGTAAATGAGAAGATGGAGTGAGGTATTCAGGACAGCGAGCTTCATGGCCTTTCTGTTGCCCTGCCAGAAATCCAACGCAATAGTGAAGCCAAAGATAACATCTAAGGGACCTCTTTTAAAAATTTTCTTTTTCTGTAATCTTTATTCCTTGTCTAACCTTTTTAGATTGTGATTTTAACGAAAGTTCACAGAAAAGTTGGATTTTCATTCCTTCATTGTTGCACATTTTCCTCCTAAGGGAATTTTTTAGAGACAAAGCCTTTTTTATTTATCATTATCATCATCCTTAAGATATGCAAAGCCCTTAATGAGCACTGTACCATATCTTTGCATATGTTGTTCTTTTGTACGATGGATGGAGTCAAAACCAACCCATAGCTGACCATACAGTGGGTTTTCAGATGTAGTTAATCTCACTTGTCCATCTTTCTCCCATAGTGCAGCTTCTTGCCACGAGAGCATAGATTATTTTATTCTCACTCAACCACTGCCAGTAAGTTAATTCTAACTCACAGTGAGTGACTATGGGACAAAATAGAACTGCCCAATAGGGTTTCAGAGGCTGTGGATCTTTATGAAAACAGACGGTCACATCCTTCTTCTGAGCAGTGATTGTTGAGTTCAGACTGCCACGTTTTGAGTTTTAACGGTCATCAAACTGTTAAGTGCCATCGTGCTGCCTGCAACTCGTAGCAACCCTATGTGTAACAGCTCTGAATCCTGCTCTATCCTGTGCCAGCCTTATTGTCTCTGACACACCTACCATTATTACCGCAGACACTGAGTCAATTCATATCTGAGTCAATTCATATCATCCAAGGTCTTCCTCTCTTGTGCTGTCCCTCCAACCCCCTAAGCATAATGGCCCTCTCCAAGGACTGATCCCTCCTTGTAACATGCCCAAAGTACATCAGATGGAGCTTCAGAATCCTTGCCTCCAAGAAGCATCCTGATTTCACTCTCCCCTGGATGAACCTGTTTGTTCTCCTAGCAAGGAGTCCATGGTATATAGCCTTCTCCAGCACCACACTCAAAGGCATCAGTTTTCCTTCTATCATTCCTAGTCATTGTCCAGCTTTCAGATGCATAGCACATAATTGCGAAGACCATGGCCCAGGTCAGGTGTATCTTAGCCTCCAGACTGGCATCGTTCTTTTTCAGTACTCTGGAGAGGTCCCTGACAGCAGACTTTCATCTTGATTTCCTGGCTGCTGGTACCAAGAGTGCTGATTGTGAAGCCGAGCAAACTAAACTGTTAGCAATCTCAATCTCTTCATCTATCATGATGCTGCCATTCAAAGGAGTGGTGAAAATCTTTGTTTTCTTGATGCTGAACTTCAATCCATATTGAAGGCTGTAGTCCTTGACCTTCTGCAGCAAGCACTTCAAGTCCTCCTCAGTTCATAAAAATGTAGGCATTCTAATTATTTCTACCTCCCAGTTAAGGCAATTTGCCCTCCAAAATGATAAAATAACTTGTTAAGAGTCATCAGCACAAAAGTGGAAGACCCTGGATAAGATGCACAGCAAGTGGTAGGAAAGATCATGACCTGAATCAGATGCACCTCAGTCCTCAAACTGACATCATTACTCCTCAACAGTTTGGAGAGGTCTCTAACTGCAGACTTTCCCAGTGCAATACGACTCCTGACTGCTGGCACCAAGAATGTTAATTATAGATCCAAGTAAGACAAAGTTGTTGAAAGTTTCCATCTTTTCTCCATCTCTCCTACTATTACCTATCTGTCCAGTGGTAAGAATCTTTGTTTTCTTGACATTGAGATGCAGTCCCTACTGAAGGCTGTGTATTCTTTGATCTTCTGCCGCAAATGCTTCAAGTCCTCTTCACTTTAAGCAAGCAAGGTTGTGTCATTTTCATAATGCAGATTATTGATTAGTTTCCCTCTGACCCTGATGCCACACACCTATCCATAGAGTTCAGCTTCTTGAATAGAAATGGAGAGAGAATACAACCCTGACACACTTTTGACTTACACAGTTGATGCTCACAGAGTGGGTGCTCAATAATGGCAATACTTCTTCTCACTTACTAATTGTATGTGAAAGGAATTTGCCTAGAAATGTCATTCCAAGGTAATTTGGTAAGTGCCTTCATATGGCAGGGTTATATACGTGGGGCTAGAGGATGACCCTGGTTGAAATAAAGACATGGGAAGTAACTCTCTGGGTTCAGAAAACCAGGTTTGTGGGCAAGGATTTCCCAGGTGCCAGAGCCCTATCCTTCAGTATGTCTTCAAGAGAAGAGGTAGGGTGGCAGGCAAACATTGTTTGCTGTCTCTTCTTTTCTATCTGTCTTTGTGAAACTAGTATATTGAGTATTCAGGACAAAGCACAGCTGAGGCCTCTGAATCCACAACAGGATCTATGAAGAAAGATTCCAACCAGGAGTGAAATCCACAACAGGTTCTATGAAGGAAGATTTCCACCAGGAGCGAAGAATAACTTAATGACAATTTCTTCACCCAGGTGTGCCAGGGGAAAAAACGCCTTTGAGCTTCCAAAACATCAAGGTTAGTAATCAACAATCTTCACCACCTAAAGTAAATGTTGTAGGACAATGGTTTATGCCAAAGTGCCATCACGAATCAACAGCAGTGGCCTTGCCACCACACCTTGTGTGGCCTGTTACCAGCATGGGCTTGTTTCTTGCTTCAACCATCTGCTTCTGCTGGAAACTTAGGCATGCCTAGAGTAAGTAGAGCCTTACAGAATCGACCCCTTCCTCTCCCTGGGCTGCTGGAACAACAGCTACTCACTGTGCAGGAACCTCATAAAGCAAGGCCCCAGAAAAGTCTGGAAGTGGTGAAATGGGGTGTGACTTGGCAAGAAAGCCTATGTGTTTGGCACAAAGACCTGGTTATGTGGGTTGTTCCAACCCAGCAGATCTCAAGTGGTCACTTATGCCCTGAGCAGTAGGGACTGTGACCCAGCGATCTGGTGGGGTTCTCAGAGACAAAACTCAGTGCCAGTTGAGGAGGGTCCTCCAGCTACGTCTGACTGCCCCCGGAAGGCCATTCCCTGCACCCTTCCCCACTCCTGCCCCAGGTATGAGGCCTGACTGGGGGCAAGAACTCAGGCCAATTCCTAGTCAGGACCTTGGGGGGGAAAAAGAAAAAAAGGCAAACAACAACCCCAGATACAAAAGTCAGAGTTTCTACCTGTATGGCTTACTGCCAAGAACCAATGAGGGCCAGGCAAGGCTGAGACTTAACATGTCAACAAGTGTTGGCCTCGCTAACTTAACTGCTATGTGGCCAGAGTCTAGAACCATACCATCAAAATAAGCTTGTTCCATTACCTCTTCTACTTACATTCACTCCTCCAACACTCAGGCAAACACAGATGTTTATAGTGAGTTTTTCCTGTGTTCTAGGCAACTTTCTAGGATATGGAAGTGAACAGAAAATCTGCCCTCTTAAAATTTGCCAACTACTGGGGAGAAGTAACTAACAAACAGATAAAGAAAATACACAATATGACAAAAGATATAAAACAAAAAAGCAGAGTTAGTAGGGAGATCTTCAGGGTCAACTGAGAAGGTAACATCTCTCCTAAGACTTAGAGATGAGGTAGTGAGCATGAGTCTAACTGGGGAAAGAACAGCAATATATATAGTGGCACTATTGAAGCACCAAAGAGTACACAGCTATTGAAAACTCCATGAAGTGCAATTCTACACTTAAAATGGTGATTAATAAAACATAATGCATGAGAATGAGTGTATGAAATACAGTGTTAATGAAGAATAGTATAAAACACAAACTTTGTAAGCAAACCAATAAAAAATAAGAGACAAATTTTAGTTGATAGGAAAAACTTAACCCAAACAAACATGTGATTTCACCATGAGTTAGAATTGACTCAATGGCCAACTGAGTCAAAGCATAGTGA